GAAGCTGAAGGCAGTTTGTGACAGTGTCTCAGGAGAACCATGAGCCACACTCAAGACCCAGTAAGGGGATCTCTGGCTCCCAAGCAAGGACCTCTTGAAAGAAAACGAGAGCAACTCTGGGTGATTTGCTCCAGGGGTAGACTTATCACTCATTCCCCCAGCCCTCGCCTTTCTCCCCACTCCCCCGTGGTTACAGAAGTCCTCAGGGTGTGCTTCCTGCCTAATTTGTACCCAGACTGAAACTTGATGGGGGCTCTTGAAGCAGGTGGCACATGTCCCACTCTTTCCTGATAGGGGGTGCCTCCTGCTGTGGTACAGAGAGGTCTGTAATGAGCCCAGCTCCCCCTCCAGAATTCGGCAGAATAAAGTTGCCATGGTGTTTTAAAGGTGAAGTAGGTACTACAGAAGAGCCATAGGTATCCTGAAAGCCCACCTGCCATAGAGACAACTGCCAGTACAGTATTATGCCGGTACAGTCAGGAGCTGGAGACAGGAGGCATTGGGGGAGTAGCGTATGGGAGGTATCAACTCTTTCTCAGGAAGCATGCTCAGTTCTCCAAATGAGCACTCCGGACGGCCAGCACCACTTCAGGGCCTCCAGAGACCTGTGCAAATACCCCAGCTGAGCCTGCCTGGGCTTCTGGCTGCAGAACCCAGCTTGCTCGGATGTGATGTTTGTGCTGCAGAAATAGAAAGCAGAAGCACCTGCCATCCCGCTGAGCTCAGTAAGTGGTTTGTGAAGAGCCGAGCTGTGTCTGGCTTGGGTTCTCACTGCAGGCTACTCCCTCCTGTAGTTGTTCATGGTTGAAACAACGTTCAGCCAGTATCTGGGAGTCCCTGGGCCCCAGCCTCCCAGACAACCAACATCCTTTGAAATGACTAGCCAGGCATACATGCGCATGAAAGGTGCCTGGAAGATCAAGGGACCTGTGTCCTCAGAACCCTGTGGGTACTATTGGGAGACAGTGTAGCTAGAACCAGATGCCAGGGACTTCCCAAAATTGCACAGAAGTAGAGAGCTCCTTTAGCCAGGTAGCAGCGCCTGAAAGTGGCTCCCTGGGCAACTTACACACTGATCTGAAACAAGGACTCTGGCTAGTCTGGTGTTCTCCATTGCATACAGAATAAACACCCACCTTATCCAGGCTGAGGAGATGTTGCTCTAGGGCTTCTTGTAGCTCCTAAAAAACCCCATCAGGGGCATTTCATCACTGAAGGCCTCCTATAGGTGACAGCAGTCATCTGTCTTAAACATCATGGCTGAGCTAGGCTTCTTCCCCTCTCCCGGGCCTGTTCCACACTTAAATGACAGTAGCAAAGAAAGTGGGAAGCAGATAGGAGCCACTATGGAGTCCTGGTCTCCTGAGGCTGGGAATAGCAGAGACACCTTCTGTGCACACACAGCCCTGGGTGGGTATCATGCAGTCAGTTATGCTAAGTTGCTTCTGTCGAGAGCCATACCATACGTAATTCAGGCTTGTGCCACAGGGCTGCCTCTCAGAGCTTCTTAGCTTTACCAGTGTAGCAAAAAAACGCCCACAGATCAGGTATAAATGAGTCCACGTTCCCATGAGACTACTGAGTGTGACCTGAGGTCATAGCAGTCTGTAGTTGCTGGGGCCAGGCTGGGCCAGGATCTTTCTATGGAATGCACATGTGGAGAGTGGATTAGTGTCCACTATGATGTCCAGGCGTGCCACAGGGAGTCTCAAAGAACAAGGCCTGGCCTCCTCTCCTGGGAATGCTCCTAACAGCTGACTATGACTGCTTTCGCCTTCCCCTGGTAACAGGGAGGCTGAACAAGAATGATGTACGCTTGATGCATGTTGGGAATGCCCACTCCACGGAGACCAAAGCTGAGGGCTTGGGAGTATATGCTGGGGGGATTCTGGAATAGGAACCCCATGTAGTAGGGCCTATTCCTCGGACCTCAGGAGGAGCTGATGTCTTCCCACAGATGTGACGAGAACTGCTTGAGCTGCGAGGGCTCCAGCAGGAACTGCAGCAGATGTAAAGCTGGCTTCACGCAGCTGGGGACCTCCTGCATCACCAACCACACATGCAGCAACGGTGAGCACCAACAGGGTGACCCTCAGAGCTGCCCGTGAAGCAGTAAAAGGGGATGAGAAAGAACAGGCATGGCTGCCCAGAGTAGGGGTGCTATCTATGACTTGTTTGACCATCTAGTTGACTACATAACTTAAAAGAAGTTTTGTTTGTGTACCGTTCCCACTCTTCTGACATAGACAGGCGATAGGAGCTTCCCCCTAGGAAAGGCCTGACAAACCCCATCCTCAGGACTAGAAGAACTGAGTTGAGCCCCGTGCTCAGCAAAAGGAACCCAGCTGTGCTATGGGAGGGCCTTGGCTCTACAGACAGATGGTAGGGGGTAAGAAGACAAATTATGAAACTAAAAACGCAGAAGAAACCCTAAGGCAGGAGGAGGGTCCGCAGAGACCTCATACAGGAGCAGGTTACTGTGCCTTCTACTGAGAAAGCAGCAGGTAGGGGCTACATTGAGCCAGCGCTGTATATGATATCCTGATATGCAGGAGAAGGGGTCGACCCACTCCATGTGTTCAAGGGTGGACAGGTAATTTCCAATTAAAATGCTGGCCTGGCCCTGCCATGGCAGAGTGCCCATACAGCCCTCTGCAGGTGTCCTGACTGCCAGGTGACCAACCTGCTTGCCTTGTTTACTTTTTAAATTTGCAAAACCCTTTCCTTTCAAAGACCAGGGGGGGCTTCCTGTTTAGGAAGTCCCTGCTCGGGTTATGTACCCAGCCCCAGAGAATGAGGCTGCCATAGCACAGTCTGCTCCCTTGTGACAATGCAGAGGCCGAGGACCAGCCTCCTCTGCTCTCCCCACTTTGCCATCCCTGAGTCCTGCCTGCCTGTCTTCTCCCCTAGACTACATTCCTGAAGCCTGCTTTCCTTCCTGCTCTAGCCCTGTACCTCTATCTGCACCAGCCCTCCCTTCTTCTTCCTAAGCAGCCACCAGCAGTGTCCTGGAAGAGGCTCACATGCACACCAAGGACCCTCTAGCACACCCCCATAGCCCCTTCAGGAACCCCCTCCCCCTTGTCACTTAAACTTAGCGGATGTTCTGTACCCTGGTGCCACCTGGGCCTCAATGGACTTTTGTGTTGAAATGACTCATAAGAGTCTGTGTGCCCTGCCTGGTGTGCCATCGGGGCCTGGTAAGTAAAGAACAGTGGAATCTTAACAGTATCCAAAGTCTGATGCCTCCTTTTCCTTTCCTGTTGCCAGCCGATGAGACCTTCTGTGAGATGGTGAAGTCCAACCGGCTCTGCGAACGGAAACTCTTTATCCAGTTCTGCTGCCGCACCTGCCTCCTGGCTGGGTAGGGGTACCAGCTGCCCGCAAAAGGCAGGGTCCTCCTGTCTGCCCATTTGCCCATCCACCTTCCTCCAGATGGTCAGCCATAGCCTGTTCCTGGGGTGGCCCTGCATCTGGCAGCTGGATCTTTCCCAGAGCTGGGGCCTACGGCAGCAGCTCAGCACCTGAACCAGGTGGAGGTGGCCCTTAAAGGATCTGTGGCTAAAATTGCAACACCCCCTCAAACTCTGCTTGCTGGCTGCAGCCTAAAGTTGAACTCAAAGTGGGAACAAAATGAATTATAGGACTTAGAGCTGCAGCTCCGGAGTGGCTTCTGGGACCCTAGTTTACTGAAATTTCAAGACCAAAGCAGAAAAAGAGAGATGCCTGGTACCACATCAAGTCCTCCTCCCACAGTTTGTGTGACCGTGGCAAATCTCACCAAGCTGGCTGGCAGGACCCTCGGCTGTCCTCCCCCATGATAAAGGGCCTAGCCTCTTACCCATGTGTCACTGGCCACCAAACAGCCTGAGGGACAGTTTGGTCAGACTGTAAATACGATAGGTTTCAGGGCATAAGATGTATGACCACTGGGGACAGAATCTCTGGCGATGTAGTCAGCTCCTTCCAGAACTGCAGCCACCGCCTTGAAGGTCCAGCACCAAACCGAAACAGATCATTCTCTCTTCAGCGTTCTCCTGAATGAGCCAAGCTGTCCTCACGACTGTTCTTCCTGTGTCCCTGGGGCCTCCTGGGCCTGAGCCACCAGCCATCTACAGATGCAGAGCCTATGGAAGAGATTCCAAGGAGGGTATTCAGGGCTAACCAAAAGGCACCTGATGGCCAAGCAATTCCTCCTTAAATGTGCAAAGCCAGCCCCTGAGTCACTAATCGCCAGTCCTCCACATTACCCAACCGCTTTTAAGTGCATTTGGCCTCTGCTCTCAGGACTCTGTTCGCAGGTGGATGCTGCTCTGGTCCAGTATAGTATGAGCCTACATGATGTAGCTGGATTGATTTCTGACGAGCCTACGTAGGCATTTTATAAGCTACGTGTTCTAATTTTTACCGATGTTAATTATTTTGACAAATATTTCATATATTTTCATTGAAATGCACAGATCTGCTTGATCCGTTCCCTTCAATATGGGAGTAACATTTGCCTTAAATTTCTTCCAACCTTGTCTCTCTCCATATTGTCCTGTGCCCCTCTCTCTGACCACGATGTGTTTTGCCACCTGTGAGTGGCAAGGACCCAGCTGTCGTCTGTTGAATCCACGACTTCGATGAAGAAATCAGTGAAGCAAATCTAATGTTAACCCTGAGTTAATAAAAGAGTTAACATCCCATTGCAATGGAGCCTGTATTTCTTTCCATGGTAAAACTTGGAGCCTTGGTTCTGGCCAGCGGATGAAATGGAGATCACTTTTTGTTTTGTTGATCTGTTTGATATCTTAGCAACAGGAAATATAATTTAAAAAAAATGTTTGAAAGGTCATAAGGATATCGAAACCCACCTGTAGTTTGACTTCACCCACTTGTTTGCTAAGACAAGCTACCCCACTCCTGGTAACAATTTCTGTTTTGGTTAGGGTAATTAGTGCTGTGATGAAACACCATGACCAAGAGCAACTTGGGGAGCAACAGGCTAATTTTGCTTACACGTTCATATTACTGTTCATCATCCAAGGAAGTCAGCACAGGAACTCAAACGGCTTGGATCTGCAGGCAGGATCCGATTCAGAGGCCATGGAGAAATGCTGTTTATTGGCTTGCTCCTTGTGGCTTGTTCAACTTCCTTTGTGGGGTGGTTTTTTAAAGACAGGGTTTCTCTTTTAAAAAGACAGTTAGCTGTTCTGGAACTCATCCTGTAGCCCAAGCTGGCCTCAAACTGACAGAGATCTGCCTGCCTCTGTCTCCTGTGGGCTAGGATTAAAGACATGTGCCACCATGCCTGGCTTAATCTGCTTTAAAAATAAATGAATGAATGAATGAATGAATGAATGAATAAATAGAATACAGGACCACCAGCCCAGAAGTGTCTCCACCCACAATGGACTGGGCCCGCCTACATCGATGATTATCTGAGAAGTACTCAACAGGCTTGTCTGCGGCCTAATCCTATGGAAGAATTTCCTCAGTTGAGGCTGCCTCCTCTCAGTTGACAGAAAAACTAGGAGGCACAAATGCCCTTATCAACTTGACACACAGACATGTTAATAGTTTATGAAGCATAGCCTTTCCTTCCTTGTTATCCCCAGGATCTCATATTAATATTACATTATAAAACATGTTGCAAACTTTAAAAGTCCCACAGTCTTTACAAATTCCAGCACTTTAAAAGCTCGGGCTCTTTAAAGACTCAACGGCTCTAAAGCTCCAAAATCTCTCTCTTTTTTTTTTATTTTGGCACTCTCATCTGTGAGTTCCTGTAAACCAAAAATAAGCTAAGTACTTTCTTCTTCCAAAAGGAAACAACAAGGGCACAGTCACAATCAAAGCAAAGCCAAGTTCTAACCGTGTAAATAGTTCAGTGTCCAATGTCCTCATCTTCTGGGCTCTTCCTAAGGCCTTGCTGCAGTTCCCTTTTTAAATTAGAAAAATACTCTTAGATCTTTTCTAAAATTATCTTTTGAGGATTTCATCCAATATATATTTTATGTATCTTATTCTTTTCTGTACCTTACCTTCTTTCAGAGCCTCCCCAAATCAAGGCGTTTCTGGGTCTTAAGAACCAGCTCTGTAGTCCAAGAACTCCACCTAGTGGTTCATCCTGGAAGTAAGAAAAGTTTGAATTGTTTTGTTGGTTTTTTTGTTTATTTTTTAATTTTTAAACACTCAAAGTATAATTATAGAAAAGTTGTATGATACAAAAAAATATTTTCCTGAACAATGTAAGAGTAACTTTCTGGCCGGGCGATGGTGGCGCACGCCTTTAATCCCAGCACTCGGGAGGCAGAGGCAGGTGGATCTCTGGGAGTTCGAGACCAGCCTGGTCTACAGAGCTAGTTCCAGGACAGGCTCCAAAGCCACAGAGAAACCCTGTCTCGAAAAAAAAAAAAAACCAAAGAGTAACTTTCTGGAGAATAGCCATGATGCCCTCAAACACTTTAGAAGGCATGTCTTATCAAGAAAAACATCTCAGCACTCCAGAGGCCAGCCTGGCTAAAGACACTGTCTCAAAAACACAGGTGACAGGTCTGGAGAAATGACATCCAAGACTGCCCTCTTGCCTCATTCATGCACACTCTGTCACACATGTACACACACACACACACACACACACACATTGTACATGAGGTGTTCTATTATGTTTTAACTACCAACTTTTATTGCTTTTACTTTTATAATATGTGTAAGATATCAAAGAATATTATGGCCAGGTATGGTGACACATGCCTTTAATCCCAGCACTCGGAAGGCAGAGGTAGATAGATCTCTGAGTTCAAGGCCAGTCTGGTCTACAAAGAGAGTTTCAGGACAGCCAGATCTGTTGCACAGAGAAACCATAGAAAGAAAGAAAGAAAGAAAGAAAGAAAGAAAGAAAGAAAGAAAGAAAGAGGGGGGAAGGGAGGAAGGGAGGAAGGAAGGAAGGAAGGAAGGAAGGAAGGAAGAAAAGTTACAAAGCTACTCAAATTAATAAGGTTTCAGGATACAATGTCAATATACAAAAATCAACTAATTTTAATATAGCAAAAAGTATTAATTAGAGCATGGGCACTGGGAGGGCTCTGGCAAGATTATCAGCTGGGTAAAGCACTTGCCACCAAGTCTAATGACCCGAGTTAGATCCCAAGGATCCTCTTGGTGGAAGAAGAGAGCTGACTCCCAAAAGCTGTCCCCTGACAGACATATATGTGCCACAGTGGGTGCACACACAAAATTAATTAATTTTCATTATTTATTTCATAAAATATATTTTGATCATGTTTTCTCCTCCCCTAATCTCTCCCTATCTCCTTACCCACTGAACTTCATTTTCTCTCTCTCAAAAGAAAAAACACAAACAAAACAACAATAAGAGAAAATGCTCAAACACAGCAAAATAGCATGCACTCACACACACGCACATATATGCGTGCACACACACACACACACACCATGGAGCTATGTCTTAGTTATTGTTCTATTGCTATGAGGAGATAGCCTGACCAAGGCACCTTTTAGAAGAAAGCATTTAACTGGGAGCCTGCTTACAGTTTCACATAATTAGTCTATTATCATCATGGTGGGGAGTGTGAGCAGGCAGGCTGGTGTGCACTGGAGGGGTAACTGAGAGCTCACTTCTGATCTGCAAGTTGCAGGTGAAGAGTGACTGAGTAAGTGGTCTATTAAGAGTAGACGTGGTATGGACTTTTATTTGTTTTGTTTTTTGTTTTTTGAGACAGGGTTTCTCTGTGGCTTTGGAGCCTGTCCTGGAACTAGCTCTGTAGACCAGGCTGGTCTCGAACTCACAGAGATCCGCCTGCCTCTGCCTCCCGAGTGCTGGGATTAAAGGCGTGCGCCACCATCGCCCGGCCTTGGTATGGACTTTTAAAAACACAAAGCCCAACTCAAGGGACACACCTCCTCCAACAAGCCCACCACCGTTGGGGGATATTCAATCACTCTGTAAACCCCAAGTTTGCATTTGCATCATTTAAGTAAAATTAACCTCAGGTCAGGGGGCTTCGTTAGCAATTAGTTGACAGAAGTAATCATAGGGTATCAGAGGGCATCCGGGAGAGATAGGAAGTAGCAGGGTGGGGTTTGGAGGGGCTCAGCTTTTTCTGGTTTGGCCAAGCAGAAGCAGCATGGGTCTCTGGGAAACACCAAGAAAGAGGGAAGGTTAGCTAACTGTGACCCAGTATCTCTGAGCTATCAGGTTTTTACCCCAGGCTTTGAATGTCAAGTCTTTTATATAAATAGAACAATAGAGATTTAGTTAAAGCTATGGTTAACAGCAGCAACAGCAGTAGCAGCGACAGAGCTGGTACCCGTGGCAACAGGATTCCCACCAGACTGTGGCAGTTAGGCCGCTGCCAGAGAAGCAAGCCAGTAACTGCGCAGTTGCAATTGCTGGATGAAATTAGGACACAGCCACTAATCTTTGGCAGAGCCAAAGTTAAAAAACACAACTAATCCTTCCTAAACAGTACCACTAACTGGGGACTAAACATATGAGCCTATGGGGACCGTTCTCATTCAAACCACCACAGGTTCATTTTGTGTTGGGCAGTTACTCCTGAACATGGGGCCTGCCTGCCCTGGAGTGTGGTCTGATATACCCAGTGACAGTTCATGGGAGAAAACTGACTTTTTTCCTTTTTCAATAGGCATAAATTGCAAATAGCTTCTTGGTTAGAGGTGGGACCTCTTGTCCACTGCCCCTTCTAACTTGAACCTGTGATTCCTTGTGCATGCTGCCCACAGCCTCTGTGAGTTTGAGTGAGCATCAGTCCTGTAGTATCTGGAAGACACTGGTTCCTTGGAGTCATCCACCACTTCTCACTCTGAGATTTTTTTACTGCTGCCTCTTCTGCATAGATTCCTGAGCCTTAAGGGTTGTAGTTTGATGGCTATTTTGATTTTAAACTTAACTACATCTGGAAACAACTAAAATGGAAAAAAAATGGCTGATCACACCTGTGACAAAATTTTGCTTAATTAAATCATTTGAAGTGGGGAGATCCACTTGTAATCTGAACCTTTGAGGTGTGATGACACACTGTTACTCTAGACCTTGTGAGGTGGAAAGACCCATCTGTTTTTCTTTTATTTTTTGTTTTTGTTTGTTTGCTTTTTCGAGACAGGGTTTGCCAGTAGCTATGAGTCAGTCCTCGTATTTCTTCTGTAGACCAGGTTGGCCTTGAACTCACAGAGAGCCGCCTGCTTCTGCCTCCTGATTACTGGGATTAAAGGCCTGCACTACCACCACCTGCTGGGAAGTCCCACCTCTAATCTGGGTCACATTTTCTGCTGAAAGCCAATATAAAAACCATGGAAAAAGGAAGCCTCTCTCTTTGCCTGCTTGCTCTTCCCTTCAAGAACAAGTCCAGGCAGGGAGGTGGTGGCGCACGCCTTTAATCCCAGCACTTGGGAGGCAGAGACAGGTGGATCTTCTGTGAGTTCGAGGCCAGCCTGGTCTACAAGAGCTAGTTCCAGGACAGGCTCCAAAGCCACAGAGAAACCCTGTCTTGAAAAAAAAAAAAAAAGAACAAGTCCATCCCTTCACTAGCATTAGAGCCTACTTCTTCAGGGATCCTGTATAGACTTAAGAACAGCAGAGACATCCAGCCTGTGTACCGAGCAACTGCTGGATTCTTGAACTTTCCACTCATAGGCAGCCACTGTTGGATTAGCTGGACCACAGCGTGTAATTCATTCTAATAAATCGTGTGTAGTGTGTAGTGTGTGTGTGTGTGTGTGTTTGTTTGTGAATGCGGGTGTTCAAGGAGGTTAGAAATGGGCGATGAATCCCCTGAAGCTGTAGTTACAAGCAGTTGTGAAGCGCCTAACAGGGTACTGGAATGTGAACTCAAAGTCCTTAGCAAAAGCAGCAAGTGCTCTTAACCTCAACGTCATCTCACCGGCTAGCCCAGATATGAATACTTAAACGTGTAGAAGCCGCAAGTCCATCTTCTGAGGCTTTAAGGAGACAATACCAGCTCGGGTGTGGACCAATTTAATGCAGTCCAGCCGAATGGCCCGACCTTAGCTCTGCTGGAAGCCCAAATCCGGTTTAGAAACCTGAATCGCCGGAGCCTTCACGTAGTCTCCGCCCCTGTGGATGGAAAAGGGGACAATCCCAAACACCCCTCCCTAGAGGTGCAGTGAAGTGAGAGTGCCTCTCGCGTGTTCTTATCTTTTGGACACAAATGTGTGGAATCTGGGCTGTCCACACACTCCAGGAACGCTCCAGCCCGGAACCTTGAAGCAAAGACGACGATCGCAATGCTCGGCGGAGCCTTCGATTGCTTTCGCCTGGTGGTCGAGCTGCGCGCGGCTGCGATTGGTACTGCCTGGCAGCGCGGCGCGGTGCACTGTGGGACTCGGCACTGGCGGGAGGCGCAGGCCGGTGGCCGAGGTGAGGGGACTCTGGCGGCGGCAGGATGGTGAAGCTGACGGCGGAGCTGATCGAGCAGGCGGCGCAGTACACCAATGCTGTGCGGGACCGCGAGCTGGACCTTCGCGGTGAGTTAGGCGGAGCGCGGGCTGCGTCCCGGCTCGGCGCGCGCCGGAGAGAAGCGGCCCCGCCGCGTGCGCCGAGGCCGAAGCCTGGCCCGTGGGCCTCCCGCCCGGGTCCGGGTCACCTCGCATCGACTCCGCCAGGACCCTTTGGAGCCGTCTCCTACCCGCTCCAGCTAGCAGACACGGCTCCTCGATTCCTTCCCGGGCCCGTACCCGTTAGGCTTTGCCCGGCTCATTCAGCAGCCTGAACTGTTTGAGGGCCAGGCAAATAGAAATTGGTGCATACAGGATGGCGACCGGCTGGTTTTTAGCAAGTTCGTTCATATGACACGTGAGGGTAGACTAGATAAAAGTGAAAGTTATCCTAATTATACAGTAATGCCCTTTCGGATTTGGTCATTTGCTTTTGAGACAGGGTCTCCTGTCCCCAGAGCTGGCTTCTAACCGCTATGTAGTTCAGGATTTTCTCGAACTTCCGATCTCTTGCCTTGACTTCCCGCGGTGCTGGGTTTAAATGTTTATATGATGCTACGGATGAGGCCAGGACTTTGTGCGTGATAGGCAAGCACTCGCCCCACAGAACCAGATCCGCAGCCCCCGCTAATTCACTGTTATGAAGGTGTTTTCAACATTGAACTGTTTGACTCGAGACTTAATCATTACTTCCATGTGAGGGGTGGTGGGCACCCTTCACCTGTTGAGTTGGTTTTAAAAAACAGCATTAGTCGGGCGGTGGTGGTGCACGTCTTTAATCCCAGCACTCAGAAGGTAGTGGTAGGCGGGTCTCTGAGTTCGAGGCCAGCCCAAACTCCTGTCTCGAATAAAACAAGACAACAACAAGTAACCCGGCGTAGCGCTGAAAATGCAATTATCAATCTAACTTTTCAAGAGATGGCTTTGAAAGCTATTAGAGTTATTAGGCTTAAGATTATGTAACTATGACCTGAGGCAACCACAGTCTGAGGGGACTGCTCTGCCGTTTGCTAATATCCCTTGCTGACCTATAGGAAATCCTAGTGCGTTTGTTTGTTGAAATTAATGCTCTCAGTCCGTTAGAGGAGCATCTGGACCCTTTTACTGTCTTAGCACATTTTTGGTCTCTGCCGCATCTCTGAAGATCTTGCAGCCTTGAGAAGGGTTATTTTGGTACCATATTTTATTGGACTCCTTCACAACTGAGTTGTGTACTAAATGTCTTTTCTTCCTCTGGTGTGTAGCTCGATGCTGATGCCCGTTAGATAGTCAAGGGGATGCTTGCAGTGTGATTTGGGGTTTATATAAACCATTTTCAGCTCTGGTGCAGAGGAGGTTGGCCAGGATAGACGAGGCTATACTGCCGAGTTATGTGAAAGGTTGAGCATGCTAGTCACCAGTGCCTGAGCAAGGCTCGGGCACTGCCAGTAAGCAAGCCTAATAACTCAAGGACTTTGAGCGGTGTGAGTGCCTTGTAGGTGTTCTTATAAACAGTGGACACCAGTATTAGGAAGGATGCGCTTCTTGTTCTTGCCCTCAACCTCGTCACTTCTACTACACAACCACACACTTCATGGTTCTAAGGACCGGTAACTTGTTTGTCGTTTCTCTTCAGTATTTTTGTGCAGTACTTGACATGGCACCAGTGCCGGTTTAATACTTCTTGAAAGAATACTTCTAGTCTAATTACCATCAAATACCCATACTACTTTCAGAACCTTTCATTTATATTAATATTTGTTGTTTGTATTTTTCCCCTCTTACAGGATATAAAATTCCTGTCATTGAAAATCTGGGTGCTACCTTAGACCAATTTGATGCTATTGATTTTTCTGACAATGAGATCAGGAAACTGGATGGTTTTCCTTTATTGAGAAGGCTGAAAACATTATTAGTGAACAACAACAGAATTTGGTGAGTGCCTGCTAGCGAGAATACTTTCTTCTCTGAAGTAGATGTTACAACGTACCCTGAAGATGGTGTGTTGTTGTTATTATTATTATTGATGTGTTATTAGTGTTTTGCCTGTAAGTGTACCACATACCTGCCTGATGCCTTTGGAGGCCAGAAGAGGGTGTCAGTTCCCCTGGAGCTAGAGTTACAGACAGTTGTGAGCTGCCGCATGCATGCTAGGAACAGAATCTGGGTCCTCTGGAAGGACAGCCAGCACTCATAAGTTGCTGAGCCACCTCTCCAGCCTCTCCATGTCTCTTCTTAAAGGGAGAAATGAATTGAGCACTTTTCCTAAAAGATTGGGAGATTAATGTGGGCATTGGTCTGACTTACTGTTTACTCTTCAGAGATCTCTAATATTCGTAGTTGATACTAAACTTTGAATTTAAATTTAAAACATGTTGCTATGTATACATTTCAGATTCTGGAGCAGTTATCAACAGCATTGTAATAAAACAATTTCTAAGGGCCAGGTGTAATGGTACCCCCCCACCCAACCCTAACACTTGGCAGGCTGAGGCACGCCAGTTTATCTCCTTAGCAGGTTCCACCTGGTGCTGCATAGTGAGACCCTGTCTCAGTAAAATCTTTTTAATTAAATAAAATCACTTTTCACTGAGACGCTATATATCATACACCCTGCTTTTTTTTTTCTTTGTAGTTGGCTTCTAGAATATAATTCTGTGAAATTAAGATCCTATTTGGTTTTTTTTGAGTTGGGGTCTCACTATGTAGCCTTGGCTGGCCTGGAACTCACTATGGATCTGCCTGCCTCTGCTTGCCAAGTGTTGGAATTGAAGGTGTGCAGTACCACCTGGCTTTATCAGCTTTATATAAAGATTGTATTAATATAGTTATTGAAGAAGATTTTTCATTCCTGGTACTGTTAGGGTCTATGGCTCTTGGGAAGAATTGTTGGGGACTGGGATTACAGAGGCTTTTATTAAGAAAAGATTCCAGGGGCTGGAGGTGTAGCTCAGTGTTTAAGAGTACTGGCTGCTCTTTTTCCAGTTCAGAGGACCTGGGCTCTTCCCCCAGACCAACGTGGCAGCTCCCCGTTCCAGTTCCAGGGAATTCAAGGCCCTTTTCTGGCTTCCACAGGCACCAAGCACATAATTGGTATTCAGACAGAAGTGCAAGCAAAACACCCACACACATAAAAGTGCTGAGTGGAGTTTTTAGTTAGAAGCCATTTTCAGGATTAACACTCTCTTTGGATGAATGTGTTACACCAGCTCTGAGAATGCAGAATCATTGGTTTTTGAGTTTTCTGGGCAAAAAATTGCAAATCGGCTAAGTAGTCTTTTTTCTGCCCTGGAATCTCACCTTTCTTGAGGTGGGATGTGGGAGAGCTATTCTGACATACTTGCAAGGATAGAAATAACTGTTTATTGCTTTCACTGAGAGCCTTTCTATTTTTCTTTTAGCCGTATAGGAGAGGGACTTGATCAGGCTCTCCCCTGTCTGACGGAGCTCATCCTCACTAACAACAGTCTAGTGGAACTGGTAAGTTGAGTGGCGGTAACTGTAAAGGGTAAGGATGCTTCCTGTTCCTTTTTGCTTTTGGTTTTTTTCAAGACCAGGTTTCCCTGTAGCTTTAGAGCCTGTCCTGGAATTACACTCGGTAGACCAGGCTGGCCTCGAACTCACAGAGATCCGCCTGTCTCTGCCTACTGAGAGCTGGGATTAAAGGCATGCACCACCACCGCCCGGCCGAATGATAGAATTTTTTAAGTCCATTATTAATTCTGTCTTTTAAATGCATCGCCTATATCCTATTTGCATTTAATGGTATTATTGGCATATCGTAGCTTGTCTTTTGAGGGACACTCTTTGTCTTCTGTTCTGTTTCTTTATATTGTGTATGTATGCATGTGCACTGTCTGTGTCTGTCATTCTACTTTACCTTCAAATGCTTTACAAATTATTTGCTGTATCTATTTCTATTCATAGTCAGCAACCTCAGTTTAAAGTCTACAATACCTTTACCTTTCTCAACTGTTATTCTTTTTAAATATAATATTTTCATTCTTTGAGAATTTAATACATGTGTACATGGTTTTGGTCTTATTCACTCCCAATTCCTCCCGTATCTGCCCCTACCTTCTCACAATTTGATTCCCCCCTCCTTTTGGTGAGATAGGATATTTCTACAGTCCTGGAACTCACAGAGATCCTCCTGCCTCTGCCTCCCAAGTGCTGGGACTAAAGGCGTGCACCAACATGCCCAGCCCCCCATTTTTTTAACCAATCATGTTCTGTTTGTGCTGGCCATGTGCTCTGGGGTATGGAACCATCTACAGGAGAATGGTTGAACTGCCAGGACCCTTCAAGAATACTGACTCTCCCTCCTCCCATTTCCCCAGCTGTAGAGGTGGGCACTTGTGAGCCCCTGCCCCCTTCCGTACTGGAATATTGACTCTGAGTTCATGAACAGTACAGTGGTCCTGCCATGTTCAGAAGACACTTGTATTGCCTGGTCTCCTGTGGTCTTTCCACTTGTCCTTCCTCAATAGTCTGGGGGCCTTGGGAGAAGAGGTAGGATAGAGATGTCCCAGTGTAGCTCAGCCCTCCAGAAACACAGTCTCTTCACTTTGGCCAGTTGTGAGTTTCTTCATAAACTGCTATCCACTCCACAAAAAACCTTCTCTGATGAGGTCCAGGAACTGCACAACTAATGATAGAGATACATATTTAAAGGGCAGTTTGATGCAGTGTCCACTTAGCAAAATAATCATAGCCAGGTCAGCTCTGGGACCTGTGAGCTGCCAAACCTTGGATTTTTAGCTGGATTTATTGTACCAGACATGCATTTCCTCCTGTTGAAATGGATCTTGGATCAAATCAGAAAATGGTTGTTTATATCATTGTTTGTGCCACTACTACGCCCATGGGTATATTTTGCCACGTTGTCGTTACTGAGCTGACAGTATTCATAGTTGGGGATGACTGTTGATGACATCATTTCTCAGCAGCCTGCCTAGAACTTCTGGTACTTTGGAAACTAACCAGCTAGTAGGAAGCTTCCTGGTCAATACCAACTCAATTTCTCATGTCCTGTGCTGAGAGTGGTGCCTTCACCAATAGGATCTATCCTCAAGTTTCTGGTAGGCAACCTAGATCAGCTATTAGCCTATATTGTATTTTGAGACAATCCCTTAGCTTTGTCACTCAGGCTGACTTGTAGCTCCATATGTAGCCTAGGCTGGCCTTGAACTCACTACAGTCTTCTGGCCTTAGCCTTCCAAATTCTGGGATTACAGGCATGAGCTGCTACACCCAGCTTTAAAGCCCGTGCTCGACCAGCATACAGCTGGGGATGTAGAAGGTCCCAGCAGGGGTCTTTCTGGAGTCAGTGCCTCTGGTGATATGTTATAGAACCAAAAATTGAATCTAGGACCTTTCGGGTGCTAGTTAAGCCCCCTATTACTGAGCTACAGGCCTAGCTATTCTTTGTCTTAAACCCGTCAGCATGCATATTATGTTCTGTACTGTGATGTATAACAGACACTTTTTATTTCTTTTGGAGTCTTTTTTATGGTCGTGAGCCAGTTTTCAATCTCTAGTGCTTCTTCTGACAGCATGAAGATAACTGCTTGCTCTCCAAGAACTCTATTCTCTATCACTGCTTTTTAAAATTGTGACCAGAGTCATCCATTTACGGCCACACTGACCTTCTCTGTCCTCCCAGTTTGTTGTATAGTCTGTTTGCTGCAGAAGTGGGTACTCCTGCTTTCATCTGTGGTATTTCCCAGTGTCCCTCTTGAGTTACTCAAATTAGGTCTATCTCAGGTTTTTCCTTAGTGTAGGACTTTGTCCTGGAAGGGACACAGTTTGACCAGCCAGGACTATATAGCAAGACTCTGTGGAAGAAAAGACAACAAGCATGAAGATCCTTATTGCTGTAGTCTCGTCGCACCCTATCTGGATCTCCCTGTACATATTATTGGAACATGCAGATCCTTGGGCAGCTATTCTCAAACTGAATATCTGTTGGTTATTATAGAGTTCTGTGGTTTATCATGCACCTTTTTGCCTTTCCTCTACTTCTTTCTGCACAAATGCTGTGCAAGTCCTGTAGCTGGCATCCCTACTTATTCCCAGTATATAGTTTCTAGGAAATACCTTGTCTAGTTTGCTTGTAACTTTGGATGATGGGTTTTTAGTTTGCTATCTTTGTTCCATCATGGTTTCCAGGACAATTTGGGAAGATGAGAATATGTAGCCCTGATTGGCCAGAACTCAATATGTAGAATAGGCTGGCCTCAGACTCACTGAGATCTCTCTGTCTCCCAAGTGCTGGGGTAAAGACATGTGCCACTATGACTGGCCACCATAAATTTTTGAACTATACTATTCACCTTGTCTTTTAAACTATTTGAAGAGGGGGTAGGGGAAGACTAAGATAACAATGCCTTCTCTCAAAGATAATGTGCTCCCTGGGGCCGCTTGGGATATACTAACGAGAAAGGACATTTGCACCAGGTTTGGCGGCATATACCCATTATTCCAACACTTGGGAGGATCAGGAATGAAGATCATCCTAGGCTTCATAGCAAGTTCAGTGCCAGCCCAGGCTTTAGGAGATTCTGTCTCAAACAACAAAAACCCCACCTTAGACCAAGATCTTGGCTTGAGCTTCCTGTGTAATACCTTGCTCCTAAGTAAGTCACCGATGTTGGCATTGGTTTTATTCTTTTTGTTTGTTTGTTTGTTTGTTTGTTTTTGTTTTTTTTGTTGTTGTTGTTCTAGACAGGGTTTCTCTGTGGTTTTGGAGCCTGTCCTGGAACTAGCTCTTGTAGACCAGGCTGGTCTCGAACTCACAGAGATCCGCCTACCTCTGCCTCCTGAGTGTGGTTTTATTCTTGAATCATTGTTAGTAGTCATTTTGAGATTGCTATAGGAAACCAATTTTTTTATCTTCTGTTGAAACAAATGCTGTTACTACCAAGACTTAAAGAAGTTAGAATATATTCATCAGTTCATTAGGTGGAAGCTATTTGGATAGTTGTGTTGTATTAGTATCTGACTAGGTGCCAGGGCAGTGAAAACATACGTAAATGATAGTGTAGATACTTGTTTCAAAGATGCTTTTCACTTCAAAATATCAGAATAGGGGGTCTGGAGAGATGGCTCAGTGGTTAAGAGCACTGTCTGCACTTCCAGAGGTCCTGAGTTCAATTCCCAGCAACCACATGGTGGCTCCAAACCATCTGTAATGAGATCTGGCGCCCTCCTCTGGCGTATGGGTATACATGGAGGCAGAAAGTTGTATACATAATAAATAAATAAATCTAAAAAAAAAATATCAGAATAGAAGCATGTCTATCAGCCTTGTTCTTACTTTGACCCTTATTTTATAGGGTGATCTGGATCCTTTGGCATCTCTCAAATCACTGACATATCTAAGGTATGGAAATCGCTTGTTGTTATAGTTTGACTAGTGAAGTCCTTAACACCTTCAGGCTGCTACTGAACTAACTGCTCTTCCCTGGATGTTGTGTGTTCCTTGTGACAGTAATGTAGGAAGAGTGGTGTGCTTTTTCTTGATGTGTAGTCACTAAACTTTTCAAATGACTTTCTCACATGGAATGCTGTGAGTGAGATTGGCACTGTCCCTTTTTTATAGCATCCTAAGAAATCCTGTAACAAATAAGAAGCATTACCGACTTTATGTGATCTACAAAGTCCCACAAGTCAGAGTACTGGACTTTCAGAAAGTGAAACTCAAAGTGAGTATTGCATCCTGGCTGTGAGTCTTTATAGAATGATCCTATATACTTTCATGACCAGTTTTTTAAAGTTGCTTAGTAAGTTTTTACCGTTATATTGAAAGTTATGTGTGAGAAAGAACACATTAAATTGGGGTTGTTTGTTGTTTTTGTTTTTCTCGTGATAGTTTATGGCAGGGCATTGTTGGCCATTCCAGAGCTGGCCAGATGCTTGAACTACACAATGGGTTGTCTGCTTAGATGTGTCCCCAACAAGGAGTGTAGTATAGTCCAGCTGTGAGCAGCTCTGCCTGTTAGAATGGCTTTTCCTCTGTGGGAAGTGCTAATTCTCTGTAGTCCCTTGGGAGTCCCTCTTAGAAACTAGCAGGGTGGGGGCTTTTTGAGAGCTTTGCCCAAGAAGGTTGGACCATGTGTCTCCTAATTTAAAGTTGGCTTTTGGTGTATTTACCAGCCCAGAATACATCAGGAGAATTCTCTTCCATGTTTTCTAAGGAATGCATCTAAATGCATGTGGTATTCCTATTTCAATTAACTCTGTGTGTGGTGTCGCTGTAGGAGCGTCAGGAAGCAGAGAAAATGTTCAAGGGCAAACGGGGTGCACAGCTTGCAAAGGATATTGCCAGGAGAAGCAAAACGTAAGATACGGATATCCAACTTAACTCCACTTCCCTTCAGAAACACTGTCTGTCTGGCAGTTTGCGTCTTAAAAAAATTAAACTCCAAACTGGTTAATGTGGTAGTACATTTGAATGATGGTGTCTGGCCATCCATGACACCATGGGAAATTTCTACCAGGTTAGCAGAGCATATATTTTGGTTTACCATCTTAGTGTGGTATTAAACATCCTGCTTTCTCTATTGGAAGATGGATCGGGTGGTGTTTCTGAAGGAGAGAGTTCTTGTATCAGTTTGTTAACAAAGATAAGATACTACACTGGTTGAATTACTTTCAAAAGCTTTTGAAAGTAAGAGAAGCAGCTTGCACCAGTCAGAATATAACGATTATATTCTCCCTCCCAAGTTTTAATCCAGGTGCTGGTTTGCCAACTGACAAAAAGAAAGGTGGGCCATCTGCAGGGGATGTAGAAGCAATCAAGGTAAGGATGTGTGTGTCTGAGTTGTCAGACTGGAGAGAGCCGAGATGGGACAGGACAGCGGCATGGCCTAGTGCTAAACATTGTAGATTCCATTATCTCATAGTTCTTAGGAAGACTCTGGTAATTCTAGTTCAGGAAAAGACTACCGTGCCTATTTGACCAGACTTTGATTTGAATTAATTGCATGAACTAATCAAAGGCATCTGTATGTGTCTCCTCCTGGGGACATTCTCTTCTTTGAGCAGGATTTGCTGGCTGATGGCTCCTGTTGAAGTATCTGTAGAAAATCCTAGTCTCCAGTAACAGAATTCCCAACAGATATTTAGGTTGGATTTTAGAGCATGAAATGATTGATTGCTGCTTCTCTTTTATAAGAGCCTGAATCTCTTCCTAAATATTGAAAATTGATGACGTATTTCCTAGGTTGAAATTTTTGTGTGTGCTTGTTTCCATCCTTTATTATTTGTGCAATTTTTAAAATCCTCACAAGTCATGTACTATATGCTTACAATTTAGATATCAAACTTCCATCAGAATATTTTTGCCTGTATTTAGATATCAAAAAAAGAGAAAGAAAAAGATTGAAATAAATTGTTCAAACATACTGAAAGTCAGTATCAGTTTTGAATTTAAATTTTAGTAATTTAATTACCACAAAAATAACACTAAATGTTGAATTCCTAAATTGTACTGCTCTCAAGTACTGAACAAGCTTTTTGAAAAGGACAACAGAATTCTAGCCACACTTAATCTAGTATCCAAAGTGTTTGATTGAGAGACCTTTACTGCCCAGCCCAGGCTCCTTACAGGACATTGTGTCTATTTGAAGAAACTAATCAGATTCTAGATTGATTTAATATACCAGTGCAATTCTTCCCCCATCACAGAACCATGTGGATGATGTTCTATAGGAAAGTTGCTAGGAATTTCTGCGGTGTCTGCTGGGTGGTAGTCATCATCTTTCTCTCCCCTTTCCTGTGTTTTCCAGAATGCCATAGCAAATGCATCTACGCTGGCTGAGGTTGAGAGGCTGAAGGGCTTGCTGCAGTCCGGCCAAATACCTGGCAGAGAGCGCAGACCAGGTGAGAACATGTTCTCCGTGGAATTCCAGAACATCGCACTTGGAATGATTACAGAGGAGTACCTGGCTGGCATGATGACCAGACCTGAAATCCCGTATTCAGGAGTTGAAGGTCGTTCTTGGCTACAAAACAAAAACAAGTTTGAGATCAGCTTGAGCTACACAAGACCAAGACCTTTTTTAGGGTGGGGGTGGGAGAAAATAGGAATGAAGGGAAAAAGTAGAAGTAGGGAGGGAAGGGCAATAAAGTTAAGCCATTAGAATATTTATGGGGGTCTTTTCAAGTTGTAGCAAAGCATTTTATAATGTGGAAAGAGCAAAGTTCCAGAGGTGATTGTGAACTTCTAAGTCATGCTACATAATGGACAATCTTGGTGAATTGATACATTGCATATACAATAGTGGTCCCATAAAGTAACAGCTTAAAAATTGCCTGATGCTTTTACTGTATGCTTTCTGTGTTTATATAGATGAACAGTGACATGTTGTCTAGGTTCATAGTATAGAAAAAATAATTGCCTTTACCATATAGGTAGTTTAATAGCTTATACCATCTAGTTTGTGTAAGTATGTACTGTCATGTTCATCTTCACAAAACAAGATCTCCAGTGATAAAATTCCTAGAACATAGATTCCTGTAAAGGAAGGTATGGCTATTATGGTAATTTAGTGGTTAGCTGCACAGGCCATATAGAGAGCCTGACCAGTACTGTCTGTGGGCAGGTTTCTTCATCTTAGGCAGGTTTAAGATAGGTACTATCACCAAAAGGTTTGGTGGAGGATTGTAATAATTGCACTTAGCACAGGGCAAGTTTTGGGTAGATGTTAACTAGTGTAATGTTTGAATGCCAAGTTGTGTCAGCAAATTGAGCGCTAGAGATACATTATTCAAATAAAGTAATCAGGTATTACACATTTTGATATAAGTATCTCTCAGGGACCATTGTCTTTGAGCTGTTTTGTTTTTAGTTATGGACCCACTTAGTTTAGTCATGGTTACTTGCATGAGCAGGGGGCAGGGGTGTTTACTGGAACAGTGATTACATTCCCGAAGAAAACCACCTCCTACCTCAGCAGCTATTAATTGCCAGTTGCTCCTCAGAGAGAGGATATAGGATAGTTTTAAGATCGGTGACATTGTTGTGTTGTTCCTAGGCCCCTGGGGACATGCAAGGCAAATTATTTCTATAATAAGTCCAAGGTGTTTACTCTTTTCATTTAGTAGCATTTGTACTGGTGGAGAAGACCTGGTACCTCAGCAAGGAGTGTTCTTCCTTGCATCTACTCCCAGTAAAATTCATGTAGTTTCACTCCCTGTTCTAGATGAAGGAAGAGAAATAATTTTCTTTGGAACTGAAGATAGAGTTAAGATACCATACTTAAGTTCCTGAGCAATCCCCAGCACCTGACAGTGTTTATTACCGATGATAAAATTACAGGTTCTTAAGCAAAAATTGAAGTTTGGAAAACTTGGGCTAGGGTGTAATCTGGTAGAACATTGCCGAACACACATGAGACCCTGGGTTCAAACTTCACTGTTAGTAGAAGGAAAACGTAGACCCACTGGTATAATGTTGTTATCTTACTCATACTTACAAACATTTCTGGAAAAGTGGGAATATTAATGAAATTTCGTTTTCATGATACCGTGTCATGAAATTACTCAACATTTGAAAGATCTACAAAACAGGGTAAATGAATTTTTCCAAATACTCTAGTGTCTATATGTATAGGTATAAGATCCGTTCAGACTTCAGGGATTTGAGCTGCAGGTATGAATGGAAAGAGTTTCTTGAGAAAACTTCAAGTTCATTTTGGGAATCGTCTGTGAGAAGCTGCTGTTTGCTTCTGACTGCAGATGTCACAGATAGACTTGAACTTCAGTAGTTTCTCTGAGCATTTGAACAAGCAACACTTTTTGTTTTTGCTTTTAGAGACAGGGTCTCTCTACATAGTCCTGCTGTCCTGGAACTCACTCTCACCAGGCTGGACTAACTCAGACATTCATCTGCCTCTGCCTCCTGGCTGCTGGGATTAAAGGCATATGCTACCATGTTCAGCATTTTTGTTTTGTTTTTTCTTTTTTTCAGAATACATTGACCCTTCAAAAAAAGTATTTGTTTGTTGGTTGGTTGGTTTTTCGAGTCAGGGTTTCTCTTGTGTCTTAGAACTCAAATCAGGCTGGCCTTGAACTCTGCCTCCAAAGTTCCACTACCACTCTGCAACCAAAAATCTTTAAAAATCTTAAAAAAAAAAAAATCTGCCACAGAAACACAATTAAAAACTTTGTGTTTGTTTGTATTTATTCACATTTTGTTTTATTAATTTGTATGTGTCTGGTGAATGGACAGGTAATACAAAATTGACGTGACTTATGGTTTTATGGGTTTTTTCCAGGTCCAAATGATGATGGTGAAGAAGAGATGGAAGAAGACACAGTCACAAATGGGTCCTGAGCTGTGAGACATAGGCTCTCTAGGGACAGGTCTTGCTTTTTAAGCATGGAGTAACAGCTTTGCTCGTGTCAACAACATGGAATCTGTCAGCATTGCTGAGTGCTCAGAACTACTGCTGATAATTTTTTAATATGAACGTTGCTATCTAAATGCCCGTTTTCTACAAATGATAAAATAAAGGCCACTTTCTGTGCTGCCAGCTTGTCTGCTGTGTGTTTGTGGTGAGATATAAGGACATGTTTAAGTTGGAAGTTTGGGAGTGTGTTAGTGTTCCCATTACTGGCCAAAAAGCAAGTTGGGAAGAGAAGGGTTTATTTGTCGTACACTTCCATATTGCTGTTCATTACTGAAGGAAGTCAGGATAGCAACTCAAACAGGGCAGGAACCTGGAGGCAGGAGCTGATGCAGAGGCCATGGGGGGGGTGCTGCTTACTGGCTTGCTTTTCATGACTAGCAGTCCAGGGATGGCAGTACCCACTTTGGACTTGCCCCCTTTGATCACTAATTGAGAAAATGCCCTACGTTAGAAACTCATGGAGGCATTTCCTCAAGTGAGGCTCTATCCTATCTGATGACTCTAGTGTGTGTCAGGTTGATAAAAAAGTACCCACTGCAGGGAGAATGGTGTTTTTGAATAAACATTACTTCCAATTATGAAATGTTACAGATTCTTTGTAAAGGCAGGCAGAATTTAGGACTGGACAAATAAAACTGAACACATAAGCAGCTAACTGCATTCCTTATTTAGGAAAAGCTTTTGTTGTTAAATATCAGTACCTTGGTTTCTCTACTCTGCCTTGTTCCCTTAAGAACAATGTCTTTCTCAGCCTGGAGTTAGGCCCGCAGCCAACCAGCCCAGCAGTCCTATCTCCACCCACAGTACTGCATTAGTACAGACCTAGCTTTTTACGGGGGTGGTGGGGATTTGAACTCAGGCTTGCATAGCAAACACTCTTAGCCACCGAACCATTTTCCCAGCCCCTGATTGGTTTTTCAGACTCCTATGGTAATTCCGGATGTGACAAGCATATTAAATAGTCTGGATGCTTTTCATCAATGGGTGACAACTAACTGCTCTTGTAAAGAGATACAGTGAAACTGGCTTCCTAGGGGTCTGCGCCGGATTGGAGTCTGGTTTGCAGTATCCCACAGCCCTTCTGTTCATGCACTGGCCCCTGTTGCTCGTAAGACAGATTGAAGTGCTTGCTTTTTAGGGCTGTGACTGTGGCTTTATGACAGTCATGCAAAGACTGTGCACCAAACAAAAAACGTTTCTGTTTTCCATAGCTTCATTGAGTTCTCTTACTGGATGAGACTCCATCTTGGTCAGCAATCCAAGTGTTGACAAGTTGGTGTCCGGGGTAACTTAGAATTGCTCGTTTTTAACTAAAGGTAACTCGAGTTTGGCACCCAGGCCTGGGCTACACTGTAGTCCTTGAGAATGATGGAGGCTGCTGAACATGCTCTGAGTTAGTCTGGACTGAGCAGACTTTGAGTACTGGATAGTTTAGTGTTTGAGATAGGTGGGAAAAAGCACACCCAGCACACCATTACATCAAGTGTCCTGATAGAGGACTTTGCAAAGCTGGCCAGAGGCAAAGGAGGCTTCCTCTCTTCCATCTGTGTCTCAGGACCCAAATAATTGGTCAGGTTCACTTCAACCCATGCTATTTTCCCTAGAACCCAACATTTTCAGTGAATAATTTTGTAGAGCATGAGTTTTGTTCAGGCTAATGTTGGGCGTGTTACAGCAGAAATTTGTGTCAACTGATAGTCATGCCACAGCTGCAAGAATGGGTCCATGGAACTGCATTAACATACTGACTTGAAATGGTGTCTCATAGTCCCGGCTGGCTTTCAACTAGCCAGACAGCTGAAATTGACCTTGAACCTCTAATCCTTGCACCACCCCCCAACAGCTGAGATAGCAAGTGTTCACCACACCTGACCTTGAATGTTACTGCTTTAGCATTTGAATGTAATTGGTAAATGTCTTGGCTTTAAGGTTTAATATGATCAATAAGAGTTGATTAATGATTAACCTGAAGCTTGATCCCTGGATCTACAACTGGTCTCCATACATATGCCCACATATGTATACAAGCACACACAGGAGCAGGAGTGGGAAAGATGACTCAGTGACTTAGAGGGCTTGATGTTCTCAAAGAGAACCTGGATTTGGTTCTCAGCACCAACACTGCAGTTCACAACCTTCTGAACAGCTCCAGGGAATCCAACACCTGGCCTCCATGGGCACTGCAGGTGTATGGTGTACTTACATGCATGCAAAAACACTTATTCAAGTGCCCACAGAGGGCCTAGAGAAATGACTCAGAGGTTAAGAGCACTGGCTGGTCTTTCAGAGGATCAGGGTTCAATTCCCAGCACCCCTATGGCAACTTACACCTGTCTGTATCTCCAGTTCCAGGGGATCTGACACAGACATGCATACATGCATGCAAAACACCAATGCACATAAAATTAAATTTATTTTAAAAAAATAAATAAATAAAGAGTAGCCGGGCAGTGTTTGTCCCAGCACTCGGGAGGCAGAGGCAGGAGGATCTCTGTGAGTTCGAGGCCAACCTGGTCTACAAGAGCTAGTTCTAGGACAGGCTCCAAAGACACAGAGAAACCCTCTCTCTCTCTCTCTCTCTCTCTCTCTCTCTCTCTCTCTCACACACACACACACACACACACACACACACACACACACTACTCTGCCCTTGGGATTATCTCCCTCTTCCCAACTAGCCACCCCTTTTCTATGTGCTAGACTTAGTGAGTTAGGGTTGCTTACGGGAGCACGGGCACCCTACCAATGACTGCACCACTGAAGTAATGTTTCTTACTCCTCCATCAACTAGCAGTAGTAGAGTCCTGGGGGGTCAGGCGGGCCTGAATTAGCACCTCCCCCTCTCAGTGGTAAGGTGTTGAGCCCAGTCTTGTGCAGATCTTGTGACATCTGTAATCAGCTAGAGCAGCTGGCTTTCTATGCCTACTTCTCCTCAGAAAACTAACTAACCTACTCGGGACTGATAACATTTCTGCTTAGTTGCCGTCAACCAAAGCAATCCACCTAGCTAAATACAGTGGCTGCAGAGATTCACCTAAGCTGAAAGCCGTGGCTGTAAGAAGTATCCATGCAAGGATATGGTTCTAAGAAGTGACAGTTAGAGTAGGCATTTAGTCTCTATAACCAACAGTGACCTTGTGGTTGCTATTCACCTTTGTCCTGTTTCTGCAAGTAACACCTGAACTTCTCAAGTGCCTGACCGGAGTGAGTGGGGCCCTAGATGACAAGCACTTGATGAAAGGGTTAAAAATAACACAGCTGAGATGTAGGAGCAGTTTCATAGAAACTGGAATAAAAGCATAAAATCTATGCACTCAATTCAAAATGCTTTCCATTTTAGTGGATTATTACACGGTGCACATCTAAGTGCACGCTTGGTGCCCAAGAGTAAACAAAGCGACTTTGTATATATGTTTTATTTATGTGGCTTTGTTGTTTTTGAGAAGGGCTAACTACGTAGCTAGCCCTGGCCAAAGTGGAACTCATGGATATCCACCTGCCTCTGTCTCCCGTGGTTTTGAGGCAGTCTCTCATTGCCCAGTGTGACCTTCCTGTGACACCAAAGATGACCTTAGATTCCTGATCCTCTTCCCTCTTCCTTACAAACATTGGGATTAGAAGCATTTGCCACCATAGTCAGTGGACGCAGTGCAGAGCTTAAAACCCAGGGTTTGGTCATGCTAGACAAGGAAGTACTTGACCTAAGTGAGATACATCCCTCGTCCTACTTTGTATATTTTTAATGCATTATCTCTATGAATTGCTAATTTCTGTTTTATATTGCAAAATTAAAGTGGAAAAGATTCCTTGTTATTGGCATTGTGTAAAAGAATTGATTTTATTAGGACATTTTCATGTATGTGTATTATGTACTTTGATCATACCCACCCCACCTTTTTGCTTGTTTCTCTTTATAGCCCTGGCTGTCCTGGAACTCACTCCATAAAACAGGCTGGCCTCGAACTCAGGAATGAGTGCTGGGATTAAAGGTGTGCATCACTAATGCCTGGCATTTTGTTGGTGGTGGTTTTGTTCCCACTCCCTTTTAAAGAAACTAAATGTTACTACTTATTTCATCATCATGATAACAGATGTTACCGGACTGGATAAACAGGCAAATTAAGCAACCTCCTCCCTCTTAACCAGATGTTTCTCTTGGCATTTGTATGACGAAGCCTAAGTAAGTGAGAAATCACCTTAAACTAAGAGTAATGGTTCAAACTGGGGGTGTAGCTCAGAAGTAGAGCGTAGGGAGCCCAATGATAAGTACCCCAAATTTTTAAACAGAGGCATCATTTTTTTTACCACTAAGAGGAAAACATTGCGAATATAAAACAAATTCAGCAAATTGATGGCTATTGTCACAGCCCTAACTGATAATAATATCAGTCATCAATTTTCTGATTTGTAAAGTCCATTTTCAAGGTGGCTGGCTGAAAAGTGAAGCAATTTCACGCTTTTCTCTCCCACGTTCCATGAACACCAGTCCTTCAGTAGGAAAACCTGCTTTAGTTTACTACTGTAGTAGGCTACTCGACAGGCTAATTTTATGAAGCAATGGCATTTTGGAGATTCAAAGTCCACAAAACACTCAAAACTTCGGTCAGGGTCCTTTGACTGTGTCACATCATGGCGGAATGCATATAAATCTGGCTTCCTTTCTCCTGGAGAATTCCATACTGACTTCATATGACCCTTTATACACCACGGATAAAATTGTTGCCTTCTTAATCCCGTTAATCTAAGACTTTGGAAACTTGATTCCATCAGTTCCATTTCAAATCATAGCAGTCTCCTTTATTGCTTTCCTAATACGTTGCTGGGACGCATTACAAAGCTGTGGTAATGTGTCACATAGTAAGATTCTAAACATGTTGGAGTCATTAATACATTAATCCTTCCCTTGGCACTGTGGTTCCTTAGAAATTTGGGTCAGTGGAGTATTAGGTCGCTTTCCTCATGCTTGTAGAGGGGACTTATGCTGCAACCCTCACTGGCCCTGTGACAAGGGCGGGCTGCAAATCTCATCCCTACGAGGCTCCAAATCCCTTGTTCCTCGCTGTCCAATCAGTATCAAGTACAAGGTCTGTAGGAAATCAGTGTAAGATCATTTATCCACTACC